TGCTGAAGTGCTCTGTTCCCTTAAAAAACACTGACCGTTGGATGCCTTAAATAAGAGCTGGTACAATCAAGACATTAAATCTGTTCACGCTGACCTCTGCAGTGGGGTTTCCCGGAGGGCACTCCTGCTGCCCTTAAAAGAGAGGGACAGAGAGGAATAGCTATGGAAATTTGGGACTGAATTATAAATGGCACGGCTGCCTCATTTCCCATGCACGCCTTCAGGGCTAGGGACAAGGAGCCTTTTTCTCCATTGGTGCTTTGTTTTTTTTCACGCCATGAGCCGAGTGTGCTGTGGGTTGTGAATGCACCCAGCAGTGCCAATGGCTAAAAAGCACACTGCCTTTGAGCCAGAGGGTCTGAAATGATTGCGAGATATTTTCCTTTGGCTGGTAGTTTGTTAGTATGTCATGCGAGAGCAGCCTGCCAGTGCGGGCTCTGCGTAAAAGGGTGTGAGTGCCCTGAAAGACAAAGAGCTCTCAGTGTGGGGTTCAGAGGCAGGGAGGCAGATGCAGGCTGGTCACCCAACTTGCACGTGCAAAGTCCACTGGCTGCATCAAAGGGATTTACTGCAGTGCATGAGAACAAGAAAACCATGGGCTGGGGAGCTGGGGGGTGGAAGGCGGCGGAAGGAGGTTGCATTCCTTTCGTTCGTATGTAAGGCTGACCAGACAGATGCTGGCTGGCGTTCCTCGCTGCTGCGTGATGAGCCAGGCTGGGCTGGAGGCAATACAGACTGATAGCAGCTTGCTAAAATGGAGATGATCTTCTCTTAGGGCTTTACTTTGCTGGGGAGCCCAGAGGCAGTCAGACCCCACACTGCACTTGGTGCATCCCCTGCATTACTCTCCTGCATCTCATCCGTAAGAGAATCAGGACAGCGCTGTAAGGCCCATCAGTGATTGAACTGGTTATGAAACCACCTTCTGGATGACCTTTGGAGAGGGAAAAACAATCATCTGTGTGGGAGAGAATTTAATCTGGAAGGGAAAGGGAAAAACACTGTCTGGATGGAAAGGGAAATGAAAATATTTGAATTCAAAGTAAGCTGGGGCATCTAAAGCGAAGGGGGTGTAAAGGAGCTAAGAGTGGTGGGACTGACTGTCAGAGGACAGCAAAGAAG